TAGCTTACTATGACGTCATATCATATAGGCAAGTAGAATATTTTATTGTACATGTAGCCTGGTCACCTGTCTCATCCTTGCCAAGTGACGCGGAATATATGAAACAAAACAGGGACAGGGAACCAGACTAATTTGATTGTTACCTTAACATACCTGCGCAGTCAACAAACCCGCTGCGAGACCACCTTTGTATTGATCGACTTAACTGATTTGTTTAGAATGGCGAACGCATATTAGTATATCATTCAGTATGAGCTATAATGGTCTGATATTTTGTATTTCAATGTTAGTCAATGTTTGATCTAAAGACAATTTGCATACGTTATTAAGGTCTTTAAAATCAAATTCTGAAGAATTTGCAAGATGCTTTAAAGAATGTTTATAATCTTTTAGCAACGATATGTTAAATGTTGCTCGCCTCAATTTATAAAATTGATCAAACGAAAAAGAAAGCCTTTGCTGTTCGAATTAATTTTATGATAAATATATAACTCCATATGCAGGGGGATGGGATATTATACATATATCACATGGCTTCGAGGGTGACATACCAGAATATTTGCCCCAAGGTGACAGGAAAGCCCTGGAGTGTTATGTCATCCGATGCCGAAGGCAGAGGGTGACATAACACTCCAGGGCTTTCCTGTCACCGAGGGGCAAATATTCTGGTATAGTCGCCCGAGAAGCCATGTGGTATATGTTATATGACATTTTTAAAATTAAAAAGAAATTAAATCATTTAAAATCGTTGAAATTTTCACAAATAATCCAAAAATGCTTTCTTGACGTTAAGAATAACGCTCCGTTGTTTACATTTGCTTAGCATCCGACGTCATAACATCTCGAACCTGAGCTTAAATGCGTAACGTAAAAACACGTGAACGTGATCGAAAAAATGACATAACTGTTTCCGTCGGGGGTGACATAACTGTTTCCGGCGTGACATAACTGTTTCCGGTGTGACTCAGCATTTTTCAGGGTTTATAGCGAAACTTATTACATTTGTGATATAATAAGAAAACTTATTCAAAAAATGTTATATTGCTATATATATTTGCAAAATTGACAATAAAATTTGAAATCATTTTAATATTATTATTTGTATTTGCTTGTTTGTCTTGAATTTTCTTCTCTAATAAAATATTTAAGTGTGAAAAGATGTGTATCGTAAAACTTCACATGAAAACAGGGTTAGACAACACCAGTATTAAAACACCTGAACATTAAATTAACTAAATAACAACCTCACCTCACCTGCATACGGAGTGTATATATCTCAGTTGAATCGATACGCAAGAGCATGCTCTACGTATGAACAATTTCTAAAACGACGTTAATTATTGACAAGCAAGTTGATGAAACAAGAAATTAACAATCTCGTTTAACCCCTTCCATGGCAAAGATTTTAAGCATTTCTCGACAAATTGATTTTGATAATGGCACAATCGCTCAAATAGTGCACAAAGTTTAACTCAAGCTACCAAAAAGTTGGTACAACCAATAAAAATATTTTCAGTATATTATTCTATAGAAATTATTTTCTGTATCCAACGGTGCAAGATTTATTGTGGTATTTGCAGCATTAACGAAGTTATGAATGCTTTTCCACACTATAAAGTTAGATGCGTAGAAATGCGTATATGCCATGTAAGTCATGTAAGTCATCATTTCGTAAGTTCTATGTTCGATACAATGACCTTGTCAGCAAATACAATTTACCATTGAGTCAAATGTTGACTGACATTTTTCATACCCATTGTTTGTCCATTATTAATACACTGAATTGAACGACGGATTTTTTTCCGTTATTTCCTGATCATGACATGGAGCACACGGCGGGTGTGACCCGTCAGCAGGGGATGCTCTGTTACAACTCGAAATGTAATAACAACGCGATGTTTCGGATGTAATAAACCTGTTCTTATTTTGTATTGTTTTATGGACTTTGAGATTGAATACTTTTCGTTGTCTCCATATCCTTCTTAAAATGTAATTATCGAAAATGTAATAACTTTTTTAATCGATTAAATTACAATTTCTTTTGATTTTAAATTTAATCTACTGAAAAATGTAATAACAGCAATTTTTTAATGTAATCAATTACATTTGATTTCTTTTATTTTTGCAAGTTAAGACAACGATGTAATAAACATTATGTTAAAAAAGGTATTATATTTTTGTTAATGTTCAACAAAAACGATGTTTTTCTTAAAATATTTTCATTTTTTACATAAAATTCAGACAAAGTTTGATTATATGTCCTTATATACACGCATGTAAAATATTTTTAGCTAAAACAATGACACTAAAGTTAGGGCTTTTAAGGACATAAATACATCTTAATGCATCGTTTTTCTGACTCTGATTTTAGTATATTGAATACACTGTACTTAATTATGCAGAATTAATTAAACTTTGATTGGCATATTTTTTATATTCTTGTTAAATTTCTAACAAAACATATTCAATTACAAAAAAATTAACGATAGGTTCTTTAAAAGCTCTTGATATGCATGTTCGGCGTGTATACATTGGTTAACAAATAAGAAGTGTATGTGTATTAGAAGTGTATTTGTTAAGCATGACCCCCAGGGGTAAGGTGGGGCCACAAAGGTGGGGAATATTTTATATAGAAATATATAGGAAAAATCTTTGAAACAATCTTTTATTATAGGATGGAAAAAAGAGAGAGACTTATGTGGAATTTTTTCCTGGTATAATGTTTTATTTTCTTGTTCAAATAATGACCCCCGGGTAAGGAGTAACAATGGGGAATCAAAGTTTTATATAGAATTATATAGGAAAATTCTTTGAAAATCTTCTTTAAAATGGGCCAGAAAAGCTGAAACTTATGTGGAAGCATTCTGTGTGGTGTAGGTGCTGAATTGTTCAAATCATGACCCCTGCTCAATGGCCCTAAAAGTTTTATATAGAAATATATAGGAAAAATTTGCAAATCTCTCCGAACCACTGGCAAGAAAAGCTGAAACTTATGTGTGAAAAATTCTGGTACAGGGACGTTAAACAATATACAATCAATAAATCAATCTGTTCATCGGCCACTACACTATGGAAAATTGTATATAGGCTATATAAAAAATGTGTTATTACATATTCGTTCCTGCCATTTGCTTAATCTGAAACTTATGAGGAAGCATTCTGCAAAATGTAATAATTCAAAAATCGTGTTGTTACATTTTGCGTTAGGGCAGGGCCATTATAGAGAATCAAAGTTTTACATATATTAATATATACAAAAAATAATTCAAAATTATTACATTTGAACCACTGTTATTACATTTGTGGCATCCTGGTATAATGTAGATTCTCAATTGTCAAATAATGACCCCTCTGATGTTTCGGGTGGGGCCACAATGGTTTGAATCAAAGGTTTATTTTGTAATATATTTATGGAAAAATCTTTGAAAATCTTTTCTCAAGACTCACTATCCTTCTTAAATGAAACTATGATATCAGAAAATTCTGGGAGTGTACTTTTAATAGTAAGCGATTAAATTACAATTTCTTGATTTTAAATTTAATCTACTACAAGATAATTACAGCAATTTTTTAATGTAATCAATTACATCTGATTTCTGGGCCAAAAAGTTACCATGATTACCCATTATGTTAAAAAAGGTAGTGTATTTTTGTGTAATGTTCTAAAAACGGCATGTTTTTCTTAAATATCATTTTCATTTTTTAGGTAAAATTCAGACAAAGTTTGATGGTATATGTCCTTATATAGATGCATGAACAAACTATTTTTTTTTAATTCAAATTGGACATAACTATTATAGTAAAAGATGAAAGGGATTGGATAGAAAACTGTTACTTCTTCTTGATAAGAGTGATGATCTTTCAATTAAAAGTCTGCCAATTGTTACTGGTACAATTAACACTTTGACTGGGCAAACATTGTAAATTCACTTATAGTCTCATTTGATGTCATCTTTTCATAAGTTCTTTGATCGATACAATGACCTCAGCAATACAATTTATCATTGAGTCAAATGATGATTGACGTTTCTTATACTTATTGTTAGGCAATAATTTATACACTGAATTGACTACAAATTTTTCCGTTATTTCCTCATCATGCAAGGATCACACGGCGGGTGTGACCGGTCGTCGGGAATGTCCACTCCTCCATGGCACCTAATCCCACTTCTGATGTTTACTCTGCTCCTATTTTGTATTGTTTTATGGACTTTGATATTGAATACCGTACGTTATCTCCATATTATTCTATCATTCATTACCAAGCTGACCCAACTTTAGCTTACCTGTGTTTCATTGCTAATTAATTTGAATCTAGTTCAATAAAGTTCAATCTACGTTGTTTATGACCTTAAATTGGAAAATATATAATACATATATGTAGTCACTTTTAAATTGTGTAGGAATGTTTTATTTGCTGCTATATTCCTTGAAGACAACTGAAGCATTTGATTTACTGAGGAAAAAGAAAGAGGCCTGGTGTAATATTGAATGGGTCCCTCAATGTATGTTTATTTGTAAGGTGTTCTATATGAAATTTAGAAATCTAGTTTATAAATAGTTATTTTAATTCAACTGATTATTGGAAATGTTAAAAATACTTATAACTGACTTGAATTTGCAGAATTTTCTCCTTTAGTGCTATGTGTTTCACTTGGATTTTACTGCCAGAATAAAACATCAGTCTCTCATAAATACAATTATACTTTTTTTACATGAAACACATTGATAATGGTTGCAATAAGTATTTTTCTCTTGCTGTTTGACAGAAAAAATCCATAAACACTGTTTTCCATATTTTTTTTTCTTTTTAACATGTACATTTCAGTGTTTAATGCTCTTTGGCAGAAATGCTTATTGATGTTGAATATGCATCAATTATTAATGCTTCGGATCTTGTTCCCTTGACTATCTTAATATTGTCCCTATTTTCAAGATAAAGAAAAAAGATTTACTACGTATATCTTTATGTCTCTTTCAGTGAATAATATATAACTTACTTATGTGTTGCAGATAGGTTGGAGGATTTCTACCCATGTCACAATTATCATTGTCCTCGTATCTGTAGATCCGACAGTCGTCGTTTAAATCGATTACTACCGTGTAGCATCGCTGAGTTTTTATGCACGCTGTTTCACACTGAGTTCTCCTAAGGGAGGGGTACGTAACGCTTGGGCACAACATTTGAGGAATCCTTTCTTTCAGACTTGTTCTTTCCGACGTCTCCAAACAGGACGCGGGTCCTGAAAGAAAGATGTAAATAACAAGAATCTCATAAGAGTTAACCTTTTTATTTCTATATAAAAATGATGAAGATAAAAGACAGTATTCGAGCTCAAAAGTCCAAAGCAACAATACAAATCAGGAGCAGAACAAACACGGACCTCTGAATCATCAGAGGTGGGACCAGGTGTCATGGAGGAGAGATCATCCCCTACCTACTGTTACACCCTCTGCGTTTTCCTTTTCATAATTGAAATTTAATAATCAAGGCGTTTCATTACATCATTTTTTGATGACGTACTACACGAAAAGGTAAACCTCCATTGTTTTGACCGTTTTCTTGGAGGGACGAATTGTACAGGTATCTTTATAATTTGACCTTGACCTTTAAAACGCTTTGAAAAAAGATATAACATGCGATGTTATATACATTGCGGGAAAACAAAGTAACGAATTCATTATGCATAAAAAAAGAAGGATTGCTTTTGAGCAGAAACAAAAGAAAACAACAGCCAAACCTTCGCCGAACAAGTCATGTGCAATTTCATAGCAAAGGAGTGAGCTCTATCAATCAATGACATGTTTGTTTGGAGGAAATTCGAGTTACATCTACAACCTTGTTAAAAATCTTTTTAAAAAATGTTATATTTACTTGCACTTTTTTCTGTGTTGATTTAAATATTTGCTTTATTGATTTAAATATATACTCTGAAAGTTAAAATCTTTGTTCTGAATTTTAGATGTAATGTTCAAATGTTCTTTAGTGTTTTGAGTCTTGGGTAATTAGGAAAAATAACTCTTGAAAGTGGACGTTTAATACCAAATATTTTTTTAAAAAATTAGAATTTTCATTTCGTTAAAGCATTCTTCATTCAATTTGTCACATGCAATTCATTGAAATACATTCCTTGTCTCTTCAGAACTCATTTTCTTTATATTTTATGAACAGTTCAAGAAGATAATGACATTAATTGTTTTTAGAAAACTATTTTTTCTAATAAAATAAATACTAGGTATTTTGAGGTTTCATTGTGTGTACCTGTCTAAAGAAGATGTCCATCATTTGACACTGAAAATTCTTGACATTCTGATAATAATATAATTGAAATAAAACATTATACTACTATAAGAAAAAAAGGTTTTAAATTTTTAAAATATTTTTATAATATCAATACCTCCATTTTGATATTTGACATCTACATAGTACGTGGTGCTGTAATGAAATCTAATATTAACTGTGGATGTAATGTGCCACCTTAATTGTTTGATAGATATCATCTTAGCAGTGAAACACAATTATAATGAACATACTTTATTGCATTGTCTCTTATAGCATATTGATTTTTATTCAACTTGCCTTTAAATATGTTAAACACTTAACGAATATAACGAATTACGCTTACAACGAAGCAGAATTGTCGGTGCCTGACATTTCGGTATAAGCGTGTTTTACTGTTTTACAAATTATTTTGCCTCTTGATAAACTTATTACTAGATACCTGATAAAAGATTGTGATTTTTGACCACAAACTAAAAAAAAGCCGTGCCATTTTCACCCATTTCAAGTCCCATTTTTCATATCCCGTTTAAAAAAGAAAACTATTTTGATAAAAAGATTCTCAACAAACGTATGCTAAATAGATATGAACTGAAGCATGGTTGATTGATTGATTGTACAGTGTTCCAAGTCCCAATCGAGAATTTTTTTTCATACATGTTTGGAGTGAAGAATTTTAATCATGCCAACGTCTGCCCTGACATTGGGCTTTGGGTTTTAAGGCCTCATACGGAGGAGCCACAGCTTTCCTTTCTAACTGGCAAGCGCATGGCGAAGGAACAGTTGCTACATATTTTATATCGACCTAGCTGTCGCTGTCAAGTTACAAACGAATGTCCTTTCGATCACAGAGCGAGCACTCCACCCACTAAGCAACCGTGACGGTTTTATCGTACAGGAAGGATATAATACTTTTTTTCATTTTTAATGGTACGGGGAACAGTTTCATTCTTTGTTTATTTGTTGTTGTTGTTTAACGTCCCTATTCTAGAATTTTCACTCCTAAGGAGATGTCACAACTTGGCGGCGGAAAGCTGCAAATTTTAGCTCCACTGCTCACTCAAGAACATTTAGCAGCGAGAAAACTAAAGCTTTTACTACTGCGACATGGGACCTCGGTTTATACGGTCTCATTCGAAGGACCGGTCTCCACGTGAATTCGAACCTTCGACGTAATGTTCTGCCGCTTACTCCTCGTCTCTGGAGCTTTCACCATTGCGTTGCGCGGACAACAATTTTCCTTCACAAATCCCTAAACACAATTAGACAGTCTGACGCGTGTGTGTTGAAGTTTGTATTAAAGGACAGGAAAATGTTTTTTAAATGTTTTAAACATATACTAAAGATAGATAAATTTCTTTTCCCAATTTTTAAAAAATAACTTTAAAATAGAGAAAACTATAAAATTAGTAAGTCCTATTTTAATTTAGTCTGTTGATCATCAGCTTTTTAAAAGATGCCACCAATGGTTTTAACAAGTGTGAATGTGAATATTGGACAAGACTAGATATTTGAGATTCGAGGTCACATCACCAAAATACATAACTACACACAAAAAATAATAAAAAAAAAAAAAAAGGCCCATGGGCTACATTGCTCACCTGAGTAACTTTGGTGATGCAGTTCTTTACCAGATTTCCCCTCTTGCTATACCTATCTTGTCCCCTACCCCCTTTCCTTTTCATGATTTTTACCCTTTAGAATCTACACTACCACATGCAGGATGCTTCCACATAAGTTTCAGCTTTCCTGGCCCAGTGGTTTTGAGAAAAAGATTCTTAAAACATTTTCCTAAATATATCTACGTAAAGCTTTGATTTCCTATTGTGGCCCCGCCCTACCCCCGGGGATCATGATTTTAACAATTTCATATCTACACTACCCACGGATGCTTCCACATAAGTTTCAGGTTTTCTGGCCTAGTGGTTCTTGAGAAAAGATCCTTAAAAGATTTTTTAAAGATTTGTTCCATACATTTCTGTGTTAAACTTGGATTCCCTATTGTGGCCCCGCCCTACCCCCGGGGGTCATGATTGTAACAATTTAATATTTACACTACCCAAGGATGCTTCCACATAAGTTTCAGCTTTCCTGGCGCAGTGGTTTTTGAGAAGAAGATTCTTAAAACATTTTTCTAAATATATCTACGTAAAACTTGGATTTCCTATTGTGGCCCCGCCCTACCTCCGGGGATCATGATTTTTACAATTTCATATCTACACTACCCAAGGATGCTTCCACATAAGTTTCAGGTTTTCTGGCCTGGTGGTTCTTGAGAAAAGATTCTTAAAAGATTTTTTAAAGATTTGCTCTATACATTTCTATATATATAACTTGGATTCCCTGTTGTGGCCCCGCCCTACCCCCGGGGGTCATGATTGTAACAATTTAATATTTACACTACCCAAGGATGCTTCCACATAAGTTTCAGCTTTCCTGGCGCAGTGGTTCTTGAGAAGAAGATTTTTAAAGACTTGTTCTATATATTTCAATGTAAAACTTGGATTCCCTATTGTGGCCCCGCCCTAACCCCGGGGGTCATGATTTTAACAATTTAATATCTACACTACCCAAGAATGCCTCCACATAAGTTTCAGCTTTCCTGACCCAGTGGTTTTTGACAAGAAGATTTTTAAAGATTTGTTATATATATTTCTATGTATAAAACTTGGATTCCCTATTGTGGCCCCATCCTATCCTGGGGGGTCATGATTTTTACAATTTAATATCTACACTACCGAAGGATGCTTTCATATAAGTTTCAGGTTTCCTGGCCCAGTGGTTCTTGAGAAGAAGATTTTTAAATGACCCCACCCTATTTTTGTCTTCTCTTGATTATCTCCCCTTGTAAGGAGACTTTGCCCTTTATTTAAAAATTCAAATTCCACTTCACCTAAAGATCTTTGTACCAAGTTTGGTTAAAATTGGTCAATTGGTTCCTGAGAAGAAGTCGAAAATATGAAAAGTTTACGGACGGACAGACGGACGGACGACGGACAAAATGTGATCAGAAAAGCTCACTTGTGCCTTTGGCTTAGGTGAGCTAAAAACAAAATGTTAAACTCTATCATTTCAAAATTCATGTTTGCGATCAATTGTACCATATAGTAACTAAAGCCGTCTGTGTTTTCTGGTCGATACAATGACCTTGTCAGCAAATACAACTTATTATTAAGTCGATTGCTGACTGACGTTTTTCAAACTATTTGTTAGGCCATAACATACACACTAAATTTTCGACGGATTTTTCTGCTATTTCCCGATCATGATAAGGCGGGTGTGACCTGTCAGCAAGGGATTTTCACTCCTCCATGTCACCTGATCCCACCTCTGGAGGTCCGTATTTGCTCTGCTCCTATTTTGTATTGTTTTATAGACCTTTGAGCTTAAATATTGTTCGTTATTTCCATATTCTTTATCATTGTTTGTTGCAATAATAGAAAAAAAAAACAACTTTGCGATTTCATGCTCTTATATTTTTGCATAAAATTGTTATCTTAAAAGTGGAAAAATTGTTGTGTACAATATTAATTATACCTTTATCTATACTCTCGCAAATGAATGGTATGGTCTTTTGACAGTTGTCTGTGTGGATTTTCATTGCTGTTCTATCATAGTATAAACAAACTATCTCCTTCGTAAATTCTGTTTTAGATATATCAATGGCTGATAACAAATTCAAGGATTTACAATCTGGGGTCAATATCTTTTTGTCTGAAGCTCGCACGAATCCTCCAATCCAAAAACCAACAGACACACTGACAAACAAAAACGATCAAAATTTATAGATGACAAAAAGTCTTATTATTATTTTAAATGATACGGAAAATTAAATATATAATTGGAGTGTAATATTGTCAAATTTTCAAGCAATAAATCGTTTATGATGGTTGTCCACAAAGTTCGTGGACAAAGCGTTTTTTTTTTTTTTTTGTCAATTATTGTTATACTTATTGTAAACCAAAATATTAGTTATAAAAATTCAAGTCAGAGTAGCTTGGTTTTTACTGAACTTTATATTTTTGTAAAAATTTCGGTCATTTATGGTAGCCGGTAGTGCGCACGGACCTGGGTGAAAATGCCATAACATTTTAGCTAAAGTGTTCTGCTTGAAATGATATTTTTCTTTGTGAAACGAGTCAAAGCTGAAGACAAATTAAATGTATGCCACATAAAGCGGTTATTTCTATTTTCTGATACCTTTAGTATCGCTTACTAAATAGACTATGAAAATATTAAGCTAAAAGCGCAAGAAGTATGTTCCAAAAATTGACAGAAAAGCGACGTCGGTCATCCAAATGGAACAGCGTCCAATAGTAAAATAATGGTTTAACTGGTTGAGACGTCGTCAGATACCAATTATATATTCAAACAACTTGAATTTATTGGAATATATTTAATCCATTGATTTGTAATTGGTATATACGATTTTTCAAAGGTGTGTAAGATTTCGTAGACACTACAAGAAGTGGAATACCACTGTTATTTGATGAAAAAAGGATATTCCTATTCATAACGTTAAAAATTTAGCGCCGTCGGACAGGGTTAAGCAGCCTGCGTATATGAATTGTTTATACTGATGATGCTCGTAAGTTTCTGTGAATTGTTTTGAAATTTTAAATTTAAATCAATAGTAATCTATACATAAATATTATTGCACACACCTGGCAATGTGGCATGATAAAGAAAAATAGAGTATGTTCCTTTAAAATATGAGATGGACCAGAAATCAGTTTTTGTATGCATTAAGAGATATGTCTAAAATACACGTGTACAGTATTTTTTTCCTGATGAACATACTTGATGACTGGATCGTTGAAAAGCCTGTTCATGTCACTGAGTAATTCCTCTAAGATATACATTTCAGAAAGGGAGGTAATCTCAGCCAATATCTGGTTATTCTGCTCACACACGTCATAAGCTGTGTACTAAGACGCTTCCGGCATACGAACTCTGTACCTACATTTCGGACCGTATTCTGAAATATAAAATTTGTACTCAAAGAATGAATTTACTTGCCACCCAAGTTCTATTGTATACTGACATTATAATGCTGTATGTTTACATTTTAAAAGCAGCATCTGCAAAGAACATTGAATTTGGGACTAAATTAGAAAGGAGAAAATATGATTTGATTTTAGTTTTTAAACTATGTCGGTCAAAAGCTCTACAGAGCTTAGGTTTCTGTTTAAAAATATCCGACTCAAAATAAAATTTTCTGATTCTGATTCTGAAACTGTTTCAAATCCTCGGATCATTATTACGTATACTACATATATTTAGTATCTCTAATCTTCTTTTTTGAGACTTAACCCAATATAGCTATAAAGGGCCTTTCACAACTGGCGCATCAGCAGAAGCGACAAAATATTCGTGCGACAGAAAAACAATTAGTTGGAACGTAAACTGTTGCTGAAATAATCGCATATGAAAAAGGATTCGTGCGAAATTCGCACGATCTAAAGCGACCGTTGTGTATTAAATCTTACGAGAAATATTGCATAAGATATGCGACTGTTGTACAAGTGTCGTACTAATATTCGTGCTTTGAATTGCCATAAATGTGGATCGCATTTTGTCGCATCTGAATAGGGTGCATGTCGACTATTTTGAGGAGACTTGATGCGACCACTAAAACGCATGCAAAGAATGCGAAACATCGTGCAACGTATGCGAGAGCTCGTGCGAAACTAAAATTTTCCGATCGCAAAGTGTTGTAAAGTGCTCGTGCGCCAATTTTGAAAGGGCCTTAACTTTTCAAACGACTGGAGTATACTGACAAATAGTTCCACTGAGTGTAGAATTAGGCAGCTATTTGGTTGAAACATGTAAACAGAAGAACAATCATATTTTTGTCGACCATTTACAGGTCGACAGCTGACAAATTGATATGAGAACTAGCATAGTTATTGTCCCCCCGCTTTCACGAATGCGAGGGGACATTAAATCTCATTCGTCTGTCCGTCTGTCCGTCAGTCTGTCAATCTGTCAGTCTGTCCGTCACAAAAACTTTAACCTTGCCTATAACTTTTGATTTAGTGGAGCTATGACTTTCATATTTCACATGTGTATTCCTTGTGACAAAACCTTTCTTAGAGTGCCACCGAATTTGACCTTTTGACCTTGACCTTAGAGTTTGACCCATTTTAAATTAAAATTTTAAATTTTTAATCTGGCCATTACTTTTGAATGGTATGTACTGGAACTTTCATATTTCACATTTGTATTTTATTTGGTAAGACATTTAATTAGATACCAACAACCTTGACCTTTTGACCTTGACCTTTGAGATTTGCGTACTTCTGAAAAACTTTAACCTTGACCATAACTTTTGATCGGTAAGGGCTAAGGCTTTGGTACTTCAAATATGTAATCATTGTGAGAAGACCTTCCATTGGATACCAAGGACTTTTACCCCTTGACTTTGACCTTTGAGTTTTAACTACTTTTTTTTAAATTTAACCTTGGTCACAACTTTTGAACGGTACATACTAGGACATATATTTTACATATGTACTCTTTGTAGCAAAACCTTTCATTGAATACCAACAACTTTGACCTTTTGACCTTGACCTTGGACTTTAACCTTGTTCAAAACTTTTTTTATGGTAAGGGCTAAGACTTTCATACCTCACATATGTTATCCTTGTGAGAAGACATTTCATTGGATATCAACATCTTTGACCCTTTGATCTTGACCTTGGAGTTGACCTACTTTTAATTAAACTTTAACTTTGGCCATAAATTTTTAACGGTTAAGATTATGATTTTCATCCTTCACATATGTATTACTTGTGACAAGACCTTTCTTAAGAAACCAACATTTCAGACCCTTTCACGTTGGAGTTTGACCTACTTTTCAAAAATGTATTCTCTACTATAAATTTAAAACAGGTGTGATAGGGATTTTGCATTTCACAATCATATTCCTAGTGAGAAAAACACCACTTTGGGTAACAATATATTTTATTTGCATTTAAAGGTACTTGGACACAGATTTGAAGTTAATATTTTCTCATTTTTTCTGTATAATATCACGAATTATATATTTTAATAGCATTTCACACAAAAATTAATTAAAAATATTATTTCATTTACAAGTTATTAAAACTTCAAATTTTTTGGCGGGTTTGACTGACATCCTTGCACTTTCACAAATTTTAACCTTATTCTTAATCCTTTGGAAAATTGACAATCTTGATGTGTATTAATGAGAAATATTAAAACTTTTATCCAGAAAAATAATTTTATTTAGAGCAGAAATGTTAGAAAGCAAAACACCTTCAGAAGTATTGTCATTCCGAACTAAGAGTAGGGGGTTCAGGTAACCCGTCTTACCTGTGTAATTGTGCTATTTACACGAAATTTATCGGTGTTTATAAACGTCTTTTTTGCATTATTATTCATATTTATCTAGAAATTAAATATAACAATTTTTTTCTTCTTTGTTTGAACTTTCGTATGATGTATGTGTTATGTCATTCTAATAAGTCTGTGTTGAAAATTAACCGGGTCGAAGTTGTGCTAAAATTGGATACGGGGTTTCCCTTTTGATGCATTGCACTGTAATTTTGTCTCCGCGACGTTGATAGCGTCATTTTGATTGGCTTTCCGGGAGGCGATTTTTAAGGAATTAACGACATTGACATATCACAGGAAAGTTTACATTTTGAAGATTAACATTGTTATTGTTGCATCTTGATGCAATGTGCAGAAGTTTATGTATTTCCGTTTCAAAGGAAAGAGGTCAATTTTACTACGGTAAGTAATCAAAATATTTTTATGCAACATACACTATTAGAAAGCTGAGAAAATTTCCTATCAGAAAATTGTAGTTCTGTAATAATTTCAGAAAATAATTCACCCGGATTTCATTCAAAAGACGTCAACCCGACGCAACTTATGAACAGTTTCTAAGTACCTTTAAATTCATGCACACTTTTGAAACGGAAAACCACAAGTGAAATAGAAAATATGAGATTAAATAATTTAAGACTTATTGGAATAAAGTCTCTGAATTCGAAAACTATGGTCATTTCCTGCTACATAACATATACAGGGGCCTATATATGCTAGTTAACGATCCCTGATATAAATGTACAAATTTGATTCTGAAGCCTGGATTTCCTCTGCATTCTGAAATACTGTCCGTATAATAAATGAATAAGTTCAAATGTGATATAAGAAAATATATATTTATTGTTATACTTATAACTATAAATATTTATAATTTTGTTTGTGCACATGATACTTTGTGGTTAATTTTTTTCAGTGAGTAAATACAGTTAGACTTCAGGAAAATGCTATAGAATCATTCCATATTCCAGCGCATAGAAACTATATGTGATTTTGCGCTTTATAAATTAATAAAATAATAATAATAATAATAATAATATCATGATTATGGTAGTGTTACCCGCCCACGGCCAGTAGTGGCAGAAGTCTGAGAGAAAATTAACATTCAAGTTGTCCAGGAAGCATGGATAAAATATACAATTATTGATTGAAACCGAAAATTTGATATGTATTTAAAGATCTATGTAAATTTAAAAATAAAGTTGTGAATTAATTGTAGTAAATTCTTTTTTCCTTTTTTTTTCCATTTTCATGATATTGACATCCTTCTTCTTTGCTAACTTTTAGTGACCATATTTTATTACCATCCTTATTTTAATAAATCTTTTAAAAGTATTAAATTGAAAATAGTTCATAAAATTTCATTATTTTTTCTTAACTCACCTGATTTTGAAAATATGTTTTCAATAATATTGTATTGGTCATTTTTACTATTGGCGGCCATATTGGATATTTTGCCGCCATCTTGGATATTTTTTAGCTGACATGGAAACAGAAAATTAGGGCTTGCATAGACCTTTCCGAAAATATATAGTTTGCCCTACTTCTAGATAAAATTAGACTCTATTCTTTAAAAAATACCTAGATTTAACGGATTTTTCTTCCTTTTATGTGCCATCATTTAATACTCGTATGTATAGAAATTTCCTTACATAATATAGCTATACTCACAACATTGATTATTTCATAACTTCTGTTCTACTTGGAATTTTTTCACCAAGTAAAGTTTTTTATATTTCTTAATGTCTCCATGTTTGCGCTAGAATATATTTAATTGAAAATATTTCACCGAAAATTTTTACCTGAACCCCCTACTAAGAGGTGCGTGCAGAATTTAGCAAATCGAGCACACTCGTGTTATGTACACAGTTTTTGTAAACAGGGCTCGAGTTCTATTATTGTTTATATTTAGAATTCACCGGGTGCGTTCAATCTTCACAGTCTGCTTACCAAAACTGCACGGATTGAAAATATATTGTGTGTTTGTTTTGCTTTCGAACATGTCTACTCTGAATTTTCTGGATGATAGTATTAATATTTTTCATTTATACAAAACGAGATTGGCACTTTTCCTAAGGATTAAGAATAATATTAAATTTGTGAGAGTGCAAGGATATGTCAATCAAACCCGCCGAAAAATTTTGAAATTTCAATATCTTTTAAATGAAATAAGATTTTTAATAAATTTTTGTGTGAAATGCTATTAAAATATATAAGTCATAATATTAAAGAGAAAAAAATAACTTCAAATCTGTGTCCAAGTACCTTTAAATAACTTTATCTTCGTTATGTTGCCATTCGGGGTCAGCAGTGTTTCACAAACACATCTTGTTCCTTATATTGAGAAGAGATATGGCTTTCATATATGACATGTGCATTGCCTGTGACAAGATAATTTCGAGCATGCTATGATTTCTTACCCCTTGACCTTGGCCTTCACGATTAACCTTATTTCAAATTCGATGATAATTTCTAAATAAATGACATATGATAGGGTGTTCATTTTAGACACATAATGTCATAAGAAATAACATCTCACCCACAAAGACACCGAAAGCGTGGGACGACAATTCTTTGAATTTGCTTGATTCGTTTACTGT